ACCCTTTGACTTTTATTTTCATGTCTGTTGCAGTCATATCATGATTTCGTGGACAAAGTAAATTTTACCTCGTCGATTTAAATTTCTGCTGTTGTTTTTTTTTTTTTACAGTGTTGCGCAATGTTTTGTACCTTTCTACTTTCCAGCGAATGCAAATATCCTCTTACGTGTGGAAGATTGTTGACTAAAACATAACAACGTATACCGCACCTACTCAAAGCTATCAATGAACACTCGATATCAGTGATAAATTTCGTTACATTTACAGTGACGAATATAGATAGGTTATAAGTACTAATATATTTTGTTTCAACGTAGTACTTACATCAAAACTGAAGTGCTGTTACAATGATCGGTGAATTACCCTCAAATTAAACGGAAGCCTCTTTGGACAGCAATCTTGGAAAAATGTTTCGCCTTGTGGCCGCTTATCGGAGATGAAGGAAACGCTTTGGCAATCAAACTATAGTGTCGCTGATTCCTTCAGTAGTGGCGACATCAATATTAATTTTTTTTTTTTTTTGAGGGGGTAGTTTCCTAATCCCATAATACCAAGTAGAGAGTAGAGTTTGGGTCGTTGTATGCGTGCATATGATTAAATTTTGCAAATCTATATTTTTTTCTTTGAGGTATAATCTTGAGTTACAGTCAGTCTACCAGATAAATAATCTGCCATAAACATGTTTGCTTTTTATTTCCTGTTGGTTAAAAGATTTCTACAAGGATGTTTTAGGAATAGAGTTGAGGGAGGGTCTTTTTCCGGCACCCTCTCCCAGTCACTTTTCCTTCAGATATGAAAGATATGACGTTCTTTACCGGCCGTAAACGGCAAATACTTACTAACTGCGAATATCAATTCGTACTGTATATGCTGGTTGCGAATATCAGTTCGTGCTGTATGTACCAGGCTTCTGTGTCTCAGTAACTCATTTAAACTGAACTGGAGAAGGCCTTGGAAGGTTCAACGAAACCAGGTGATTACCATTGTGGAGGTGAGAAAAAAGTAAGCACCTCATAGCTCTCTAGCGACTCTATTTGAGCGTTAATGGTGATTACACCGACTTCATCAAAATAAATGGCGGATCTAGGGGAGGGGCCCGGGGACCCGCTCCCCCCCACCTTATTTTGTTGAAAAAGTAAACGCAGTAGAAAGAAAAGCCGGAAGGTGTACACACAAGAAGAAAATCGGCCCCCCCCCTCCCCCGTTCCTCAAGGTCTGGATCCGTCACTGGTCCAAAAGGTGAATGGAATCAATTTGAATTGGCGCTAGTTCGCCTGTTCCCGGCGTTCAAGTGGAAAACTGGCGCGATAGTCAGAGCAATAAAAGTGAAACTTCGGATAGGTTATCTCACGCTTTCCACTTTTTAATCGTTGTTACGTGTAGTGTAGAAAAAGATTGTTGCTCGGGAAAAGATGTAAGTGCACGACTCACTTGGCTGTGGATACTCACATGAAGTTCTTCAAATTTAGTTTTTCATTTTTTCCTTTTCTTGAATCAAATATTTTTGTTTATCCTAAAGAGGTACACTAATGGTGCGTTTGATGCCCTCTACTAGTGGTAACCTGAAATCTCATTTGATCGCATAACTCAAGGAGGCGCATCGCATCCCATCACTCATAACCTTCCAGGAAGCTCAAGGGCTCCAACGATTTTCAATTTCCCTATCCTAAATTTCATTCCCCACGAACCAACAGGTTGAAGTCTATCAGATAATGGTACTATCCACAAGGTTTGAAAAAATCAAGGCCCCGCTCCACTCGAAGCTCAGTTTTCCTGTAGCTTCTATCTCGGAAAACTGTTCACTTCTCGGAACACAAAATGTCCACGGACAAATATACCTGCATACTTTCGCGCCAAATGAAAAATGAAGGCTATTGTTTAAAAATATATCCTCCTCTGAATTTCCTGGCGAACCATGTATTGCAAAAACATCGTCGAAATAGAATTATGAGTGAAAAAACCTTAAAATCAAAAATGATGCCGTTTATAAAGTAAAAGTATCTGAGGTGTACATGATTTTCTTATATTTAACTTTTCACATCACAACACACTAAGAAAAATTAAAAAACCTTACTACCACTAATTTAATACTCTCCCAAATACTTAAACCTCATCAAAGGAAACTAACCGCAGAAGTTTATATCGTATAAAAACTACATCGAAAAAGAAGAAAAATGTAGTTTTAGTCAACTATTATTCAATAACGCTTACAATCTCTGGCTTACAATGAAGCTATAATAAGTTGGCAAAACACTAACGGTGTAAACTATTGCTATTTATGTCGGTGCTTGGTAGCCTCATTATTTACTTCGGTTTATCTACGCTAAGCTATGATAAGGAAAACCTACTTCCATACATATTACAAGTTGCGCTGATTGTTGTTACACCTCAAATAAAACAAATTTATATCTAAACTACTAAAATATAATCAACCAAATACACAAATTCTCATCAATGATAATAACACTTGCATCAATTGATTGGATTATATCACATTTTGAGTAGCTTACACTTAAAATTCTTGCACAACTTAAGGCTAACTAATTACTGTAATGGTCTACAATATTTTCTACTATTTCGTGGCTATTCATGCAAAAAGCATACATACTTATAGAAACCGAAAAACCACTTTAATATGCAAATTACATTGGAAAACTATAAAAGAACATTTGCTAAAAGCACCTACATTTAATTAATTTTCTAAACACCGCGCGGGGACATAGCTATACATGAATATTCAAAATCTGGTATTAAAAGTCTATAGCTACACTGTTCAAAAGGAGAGTAAAGAAAATTCCTTCGACAAATATTTGCACATAACTGCACACAATTTCAATAGGAAACAAGAAATTTCTAAAAGTTGTAAACACTATGCACCTAATACATACACTGATCTACATAATCGAGAGATTTAGCACGGGAATTACGGGAAACGGCTTATGTCACCTTATCCTTTCACGTTTCACGTACATTCAGCGTGCACCTTGCTGCTTTAGCTTCGCGTGAGCTTGAGTCAAAGTAGATTTGAAGGCACCCTGTATGAATTAATGGTATAGTTTTGGTGCCCTTTTTCCTACATTTAACATCTACTCTGTGACAGAAAAAGTGAAGAAAATCTTACGTACACAGCAAAAGTGAAACAGATTACTCTCAAGTAGAAACGGCAAAGCGCAACCGGCAAAAGTGAAGAAATGGCGGGAAAAACAAGGTCACATGGTCACTGTTGACGTTGACGTTTCACATAAACGCGGTGCTAAATCTCTCTAATATATTCTGTATTTGTATGAATATATACTAGCTACGCAACACTTTCTTGTGGAATACTACGGAATATCCCTTGAGTAACCTTCAGTTTTTTGGGTATACACACACGCCGTAAGACGAGAGTGCATATTAAGAAAATACAACGGACAGGTAGGATATTCCATGGTTTAGTATACCACTGACGGCGACACACGACTCTTTCATACCATGTCAAAGAAAATACAGCAGCCGATACAGTTCATGAGATCTAGGCGCAAACTTTATTTGAAATAGTTACAAATTAGCTTCGTGCTGTCTTTTATCTTGACAACATTTATATATAGATTTATGGCACAAAATACTAAAAAAAGATTAAGTTATTGTAGTCATACCCTTGCAAGAAACTTGGAAGGGTACCACTTAACAAATCCCGGCAAGAATAAGATCACAACGCACGATGGGAAGGTTAGGTGTAATACCGTTGAATATGCGGCAGTTTCCCTGGATTCTCATGGACTGTATTTCTCGTGAAACGCAACAAATTTGGATATATTCTTGTCTATCCATGTATCTATGTGTACATCTGTGCTTAAATCTTAGTTTCAAAAGATATGAATATCCGTATCAATACCCACCTCCCAGACCACCTGGAACTGAATTTGAAAATCTTGAGCTTGTCAAACAATGACTCCAACTAAAAAAAAAAGTGGGTAAAATAGCTGGACAGGACCTATTCTCACTAAATTAAAAATTGCTGGTTATTCTAACCAAAACGTCTGCGCAAGTTTTCTTAAAGGGGATAACGATCAATTGGTCAAGCACATTAACAAAGCCTTAGGGCGACTAAAATGTCTGTCAAATTACCTTCCCAAGTAATTTTCACAGCGTTCATTTTACTAGGTCGACAGAAGCGCCTACATTGTTGGGGGTTACTTAAAAGAGAACTATATGACTGAATCTGTATCTATATCTGCACATCTATATGTGGATGAACCTATACCCAGCCTTAAGCCTATGCATATGCTTATTATTTACATCTTAAGCTATGGCGATATCGTATCTACGTCTATATATGTCGGTTCCTGTCTACATCAGTCAAAACTTGTACTCTACCTGAGCGTATGTCTACCTCTTAATCAAAGTCTATTTCTATATTTGCATATGCATTCATGTATTCAGATTACGTCTTCTCCAAATCAACACTCCGATCAACACCAAACTACTACCCAGCAGTGACTTTCTTGCATGTATTCAATATCTACATTTACAACCTGTAGGTATACCTGAATCTAGACCGCGTTCCTCGTTTACTTGCAAACTATTAACTGAGTTTAGGAACATGCGTAATATGTCTAGCGTAGCGTTGGTAAATACAGTTATGACTTTATTTGAATTCGCTCGTACTTTTAACGCGCTTTTTTCTTTTCTTATCCAGTGTTAAACATCCCCCGTCTAATCACTGATGAACTTGGCGTAGTTCTTGAGTTACGCACACACTGTTGAGGCCATGTAAAGACGGAAAGATCCCTCAAACGCCTAACTATTCCATGCACTCCTCCTTGATTATCAGCGATGGTCATCAAGTGCTAATGTACAACACTGAACAAGTGGCCTTATAAAAATGCTTCTCTTAAGCGGTTTAGTCGGTTTTTTTGGTTCTTATTTTTCCATTTTTGTTTTGTATGTTTTTTTTTTTCCAAATTGTTTTTTGTGTTTTATTTTGAAAATTTTTTGCTTTCGTTTCATTGAATTTTTGTTTTTGTTTTTGTTTTCTCTTGATTTTTAGTTTTTTAATTTTTTTGTTTTTTTTGTTTTTGGTTATTTTTCAGCAGATTAACAGCGAGATCTCCTTCATGCCTAATCACATAATTTGTCTTTCCAATCTCCTTTTTCCTACATTCACATCTACTTTGTACATTTTTACTTCAACATTTCACGCAGCAATCTGACACTGCCTTCTACTCTAAAAACTAAAAGTTAAATTACCCTTTTTTTTTTGTCTAACTCATGGGGTACTCTGTACCACAGTAGGTCCATAAGGCACAAATAACTTCTCTATTTCACCGACTAGCCGATGGAGCATCGTTTCAAGAGACTGCAATCGGTTCTCCAATCGTTGCACCTTACTTTGGATTACTACTTCCATACTTCGCATTGAGTTTATCAGGTCGTGGCGAATACGAAGTGGATCTTCTTGGGCAAGAAGACGTTCAATTTCGTCCTTTAATTGATTGTGTTCATTTCGCAAATCGGCAAGGTCATGCAGTATGGTTTTCACTTCAATCCTAAGCTGGGAAATATTTTTTTGATGAGACTGAACGGGCTTAAGCTGACCTCTCACCTCCTCAACCACTTGCCATCTAAAATCTTCATTGTGTGAAACTCTCTCCTTGAGGTCCTCAATTTCCCTGCTAAGTGTTTCGCAGCATGACAATTTAGAAGCAGAATGTATACATTTGTTACGTATTACAGATCCTGTGGAAGTTCCAGCAGCTCTTGGTGACGCAATTTCTTTCATCTTATTGCCGTCTGTCGCACTCGCCGATTGGGTCAAAAACCTGTAAAAATTTTTCAAGATGCTGACTTCTCCAGGCTTGAGGGGGTCCTTACCAAGCGAAAAATACTGAAATTCATTTATTGTGTTGACCTCAGTGTATGAAGGTGACCTCTCCTGCAAACAACAGGAAACACGGTTTGATAAACTGACCATTCATTCACTGAGTGAGGTAGTGTACAGCTATGGCAGTATTAGTTACAAGTCGCAAACAGACTTATTCTGTGTCATGTAAATTATAGTCGAAGGTGCGGCAGGGTGAGTTTGAAATTTCATTTAAAGGGGAACTGAAGCCTAAAATTGGAATATTGCTTGCATTCATTTCTAGTTAGCTTTAGAAGAGTAAGATAAAGTGTCGATATTCATTTTCGTTCACTTCTTGTTTTTTTAGAGAAAATTCGATTTGAAGGTGCGGCAGGGTGAGTTTGAAATTTCATTTAAAGGGGAACTGAAGCCTAAAATTGGAATATTGCTTGCATTCATTTCTAGTTAGCTTTAGAGGAGTAAGATAAGGTGTCGATATTCATTTTCGTTCACTTCTTGTTTTTTACGAGAAAATTCGAAGCTAGCGCTTTGAAAAATGCCCCATGTAAACCCCACACTTGGTTTAGATACATCGACGATATCTTTATGGTCTGGACCGAAGGTTTAGATAACCTAAAAATTTTCGTCGATTATCTTAACAATATCTACCCCACCATCAAATTCACCATCTCACACTCTTCCACTAATGTGGCTTTCCTTGACGTAAGTGTCTCTTTAACCACCGACGGTAATATCTCCACTGACCTCTACACCAAACCCACAGACAAACATATGTATCTATTGCACTCTTCTTGCCATCCATTACATACCAAAAAAGCCATTCCGTTCAGTCTAGCACTCCGCCTACGACGTATCTGTTCTACAGATAAAGCTTTTGAGACTCGCGCCGCTCAACTTACCTCATACCTTCTCAAACGAGGTTACAGCCATAAATTCGTCACCAAACAAATACAACGCGCCGCTGACATCTCCCGCACACTCACCTTACAAACTAAAGACGTAAAAAAACCTAACCGTATTCCATTTATAACTACTTTTAATCCGTCGCTTCCTCACATCTCCAACATCATCAAAAAACACTGGCATCTACTGCAGTCTTCTAACCGCTGCAAAAAAGCTTTTCCTCAGCTGCCAGTTGTCGCCTTCAGACGCTCCCCCAACCTTCGCGACACATTAGTAACAGCCAAACTCCCCTCTAATTCTACCACTTCCCATCCTCAACTCCCCCCCGGCTCTTTCCGTTGTGGTAGAAACTGCGTTACTTGCCCC